CTGTTGGCCATTTGGATGTCTTCTTTGGAGAAATGTCTGTTCATGTCTTCTGCCCATTTCTTGATTGGATTATTTGTTCTTTGGGTTTTGAGTTTGATAAGTTCTTTATAGATTTTGGAGACTAGCCCTTTATCTGATATGTCATTTGCAAATATTTTCTCCCATTCTGTCGGTTGTCTTTTGGTTTTGTGGACAGTTTCTTTTGCTGTGCAAAAGCTTTTTATCTTGATGAAATCCCAATAGTTCATTTTTGCCCTGGCTTCCCGTGCCTTTGGCGATGTTTCTAGGAAGAAGTTGCTGCGGCTAAGGTCAAAAAGGTTGCTACCTGTGTTCTGCTTTAGGATTTGGATGGACTCCTGTCTCACGTTTAGGTCTTTCAACCATTTGGAGTCTATTTTTGTGTGTGGTGTAAGGAAATGGTCCAGTTTCATTCTTCTGCATGTGGCTGTCCAATTTTCCCAACACCATTTGTTGAAGAGACTGTCTTTTTTCCACTGGACATTCTTTCCTGCTTTGTCAAAGATAAGTTGACCATAGAGTTGAGGGTCCATTTCTGGGCTCTCGATTCTGTTCCATTGATCTATGTGTCTGTTTTTTTGCCAACCAGCCCTTTCTTTTAAAGTCTCTAATACACTGTTAAGCCCTTCCAGCAAGTTTTTTACTTAATACATTTTAATTTTAGTTCTATAATTTAAGTTTTAGTTCTTTTAGTTTCTTTTTTATATTTTTCATTTCTTTGCTGAAATTCTCTATTCATTCATGAGAATCTTTTCCTAAAAGTCCTTGTCCAACATCAGAGTCATCTGAGTCACTTTCTATTGATGACCTTTTCTCTTGCCAAATTAGTCCATTTTTTTTTGTTTTGCTTACATCCTAGCTATTGAAACATCTTTGATAATGTAATATTATAACACTAATACATTTCAGAGACTGTATCCCATTATCTTCCTGTAAAGGGAGTTAATTTCAGTTCTAGCAGTTAACTTGGTTATACACCATCTTCTCTGCTCTATGCAGCTTGGCTATTTATTTTAGCCTTTTGGAGGCTATTTTTCAATTGGATGCCTGGAGTTTCACATACACCTTTTTGATTTAATGTTTTGTCAAGGATTTGATGAGAGTTTATGCACAGATTTTGGAGCTCTGTGTGGTGTGGCTCCCTTCTAACAGGAATATGTTCCTCATTTTTCAGATATCCTAGTAATCCCATTACTCCATCCTCTGACTCTTGAAATAAGTAAGACTATGGTTTTCTGTTTGTGTTCTACACACTCTGTATAGTGTAGGGATTGGAAGATGACCTCAGCTGAAAAGTTGTGTAGATGTAAATCTCACATAGTACATTTTCTTGAATCAAAATTTAATTATTTTTCACTTCCTGCCTACGCTTGGTTCTTCTCCATTACCCTCAAATAGTTATTTTATGTACTTAGTTCAGAGTTCATAATTGTTGTACATAGAATTTTTATTTCTATACAAGCTACTCTACCTTTACTGGAAGACTTTATTCCCTTTTTTGTTATCTTTATCTAACAGCTATAAACCTGGTGGATTTTCAGTACAGAATAGTATGTATGATAGCTACAGTCATTTTTGAAAGTTGATGTTTTTCATTCATCATTTTCTGACTTAGAATAATTATATATTTCAACTGAGAATTAATTAATTCACAAATACTTGTACCTACTCTGTGTAGGCATTGTAAGATGTTGGTGTTAGAGTTATAAACAAAGGCAGAAATGTTTCCTGCTCTAATGGAGTTTATAATCTAGGAGGAAAGAAAATAATTAATGAAATGATATAACTAGATGTATATTGGGGAAAAAATTATTTGAAGGGAAAACACACACCGCAGGATAGGATGGGTAATAGTAGGACCTGACCTTGACTGAAGGGTTCAGGAAAAAAAAAGAAGACTTCATTGAGGGAGAAATGAATAAACTAAGATCTGAAAGATTGAATGGCCAATAATTAGGGGACCAAATAGAAGGACTGGCATGTCCAAAGGCCTTGTAACAAAATATAGCATGGAGCTTTTGAGGAACAAATGTAAGCCAGTACTGCTAGAGAGAAGAGAGTGAAAAGAGCATGGTGACGGGCTGTGGACAGGAAAGTCAGCAGCTTCATGTCTTGTGGACTGTGTGAAGGGTTTTATTCCTTTTTTTTTAAAGATTTTATTTATTCATTTGAGACACAGAGATAGAGAGAGAGAGAGAGAGCATGAGCAGGGAGTGGCAGAGGGAGAAGCAGGCTCCCCGCTGAGCCAGGAGCCCGATGTGGGGCTCGATCCCAGGACCCTGGGATCATGACCTGAGCCGAAGGCAGACGCTTAATGACTGAGCCACCCAGGCGCCCCAAGGGTTTTATTCCTAATCCCAAGAGCAAGGAAGAACTGTGGTATTATTTTAGAAAAGAGCTTATACTTGCATTTGGAAAGGTCTAATTTAGTTACAATATGGAGAATGGATTGGAAGGGAAATCCAGTGGGAGGAACAGCTGGGAGGCTCCTGCAGCAGTTCAGGTGAATCATGATGGTACCTTGGACCAGGGTCAGAGCAGAAGAGATAAATAAAGAGGGAAATTTTTGAGAAATAACAAATTAATATCAAAAGGACTTGGTGATACTGGTTTTGATGTGTAAAAGAGGGAGATGTCAATAATGTTTCCTAAGTTTCATTGCTAATTAGATATATGGATGGTGGGTTTCATTTACTGAAATGTGGAATACTGAAAGAGGCCTAGAGTTGGGAATGAAGAATATGTGTTCAGGTTTGAACATGTTGAGTTTGATATGTGATCAATAAAGTCAAGTAGATGTTGAGTAGGTAGTTGGATATATGGAGCTGAAATCCAAAAGAGTGTTCTATGTGGAAGGTATATATTTGGCAACTGGAGTGATGAACACGGGGTTGCAATTTCCATAATTTAGCAATGCTACAGGAGTAACACTGATTTCTAAGACATTTCTTTCCTATGGAGAATAGATATTCTACAGATTTCTGTAGTCCGAGTGCAAGGATTTAGACCATCCTCACCCCTAGCATATGTTAACTCCAATTACTCCTTCCTTCTTCTCTTTACTGTTTACAGAGGTGGAGGGAGGAAAAATTCCAATTTTTAAGACTTTAATATTAAACTATATTTGTAAATTTTGTCTTAAAAATGAAAATCTTATCTAAGGCTTAAGTAAAGGAAGATTTCAAAGTCACAGCTCACTAATTTAAAAGGTTTATTATTTTCGATTAAGGCTAGTAAGCTTATGTTTACCTTTGCATTTTCTATTAAAGGGGTAGCTTATAAAGGAAATGAATAATAGAAACAAGATGGTAGGGTAAAGATTGCCTAGCTAAGAAATTGAACCTGTAAAGTACATTTAGAAGGCTTTGTTCATATACCAGTGATGCAATAATGTAAGCAGAGTCCAAGAGTCTTAGACTAATGACTTGACAGGCTATTTATAAATCAGTCTAATCTGCTTTTTAAATAAATCACATTCAGGTAATGCCTGTTTAGCATAGTTCCCAGAAATGTATGTGTAGTGAATTTTCTGTTACATGATGTTGTTATTCTGAATTTTTAAAGTTATTTCTGCACATCTAATTTATAATAGCAATTAACCTTTATTATGATGAATTTCAAGTTTTTTAATTGCCTTCTGAAAAAAAGGGAAGATTACCTAATGTTTAAAATTATAGAGAAAAGTAAGAGAATGAATATCTATTGAATTCATCCTCTGTTCCAGATTCTTTGCCATCTCTCATGAATAAATTGATAAAACAATCCTCATAGTCACCTGATACATCTTATTATTACCTCCATTTTGCTAACAGGACAGAAGCCTAGAGATATCTAAAAACTTTCCAAAGCCATTCACCTAGTAAATGGTTGCATTGGAATTTAAACCAGCATTTGAGTGATTAAAAAACCCTTTCCTGTACCACTAAGCCACTCTTTTTCTATTACAGTTTTAGTTTAAATATTCATATTTTATCATTGTTTGAGATTGGAAGTCCAGATATGGCTTATATTTAACTCTCTGGTGAAGAAAATTACCTTACTAAATTTTCCAATTAACCTTACTCTCCTAGAAAACACTTTAAAATTTGACTTATTTAAAAAATATCATACAGGGCACCTGGGTAGCTCAGTCAGTTAAGCGTGTGACTCTTGATTTTGGCTCAGGTTATGAACTCAGGGTCATGGGATCAAGCCCTGTGTCAGGCTGCGAGTGTGAGTGGAGCCTTCTTCTCTCTCTCTCTCTCTCTCTCTCCTTCTCCATCTGCCTCTCCTCCCACTCGCATGTACACGTGTGCTCTCTCTCTCTCAAATAAATAAATAAATTCTTAAAAACATATCATACGAATTTTTCATTCATTCCCATAGGCCTTTCCTACAATTACTCTGGGAAAAAGGATGGTCTCTTTATTTTAAATTCAGGTATAACTGACATATGACATATTAGTTTCAGGTGTACAATGTAATGATTTGATATTTGTATATGTTGCAAAGTGATCACCACAATTAAGTCTAGTTTATATCTATCACCATAAATACAGATTTTTTTCCTTGTGATGACAGTGTTTAAGATTTACTCCTTAGCAACTTTCTAATATTGCAATACAGTATTATTAACTATTATCATCATCATGCTATACAGTATATTCCCATGACTTACTTATTTTATAACTGGAAGCTTGGACTTTTGCTCCCTTCACCTATTTCACCTACCTCCTACCTCTGGCAACCACCTGTCTGTTCTCTGTATCTATGAACTTGTGGTTTTTGTTTTGTTTTAAGACTTCACATAGAAGTGAGATCATATGGTATTTGTCTTTGTCTGTCTGATTTATTTCACTTAACATGCCGTCAGGGTCCAAGATCGCCTTAATATAGTGTTTATTGACACTTCCTATTCACTGATATGCACAGGCCTGTAGATATACACGTCATCTAATCAAATGCAGAATGTTCTAACCTTTTCTTGGTAATGTTATTTTCAGAAGGAGAACTTGAAGCAGAGTGGTTGCAAGATGTGGGTTTATCAACCCTGATCTCGGGTGATGAAGAGGAGGATGGCAAAGCCTTGCTCTCTACACTGACTCGAACCCAAGCAGCTGCAGTAAAAAAGAGATATAACACTTACACTCAAACCATGAGAAAAAAGAACAAGCAATCTGTTCGGGATGTCAGAGACATCTTTGGAGTCAGCGAATCTTCTGTAAGTAATAATCATGGCTCAAAATTTTGACTTGATTAGGGGCCGGGGGGGAACATGAAGAAAATAATAGAAAAAGCTGGTCATCCTGTCTCTTCTAGAGAAAACTAAAGCAGACAACAGAGTGCAAAATTTTACAAATTTGAAACTTAAGTGGTTATTCTTTATCCCCCCTGTAGCAGTTTCTCTCAACGCTAAATTTATTCCCTTCTTTGTTGAGCTGAGAATAACTTATTTGGTAATGGAGCACATCTCTATGGCTGGGATACACAGAGACTTTACTTAAATCTAGCACTGGGTGTAAATTCTGTGGACAGGCAAAGGACTCCCAGAGAAGTGGGTCCAAAGTATTCTAAGCAAGGGGTAAAAAGTGAAAGATACCAGCGTTAATTAAGTGGGCAAGAGATTGATTCAGAAAACCATAAGGAAGGCATCACATGTGTTCTGAGAAATTGCTGGTTGAAATTCCAGCTCACCCTTAGCAATTCAGTGACCACAATTTTACTTCTGAGGCTCTTAGTCATGTTCTCCTATTGCTCTGTTTTACTACTAGCTCTACTCATTTATTCCTTCACTCATTGCGTCATTGAAATAATTGAAATCAGTAATTGCATCAGTGATGCAACCAATATTACTGGATACATTCTCTGTGCAAGATCCTATATTAGGTTCTATGCAGATAGGATTCTTGGAACTTTAGGGATATATAGAAAAAAAAGAAACTTGATATTCTGTAGTTACAGATACAACTATCTGGGGCAAGTTAGTTAATCACTCTGATTTATATTTCTTATCTGTTTAATGTGATATCAATAATGACATAAATTAAAACTTCAAGGATATTGGGTAGCAGGCTTGGTTGAAGGCACCCTCATATTTGAGTTACTTTAGGTTATCTGTAAGTCATATCTTTTAGATATATTAATCACACAGTTGCCAGAGTAGCTCATATTTCCAAGTTAACCTTTGCGTTTGTGCTAATAATGCCCTAAAATAGCACTGTCTTTTAGAGCTTTCTAGTGATGGAAATGATTTTGTGCTGTCCAAAGGGACAGCTAGTGTGTGTCCAGTATGTAGCTAGTGTGAATAAGGAACTGAATTTTTAATTTTATTTAATCTTAATTGATTTAAATCTAAGTTGCCACATATGGCTTGTAGCTAATGTATTGAGCAGTACAGTTCTAGAACCTTCCATTGTACAAAATTATGTACCTGAGGCAGTGCATTTTTAGTTCTGTGCTGTTTCAACTTTCATCCTAGTTGAAACCTGTATCTTTGTGGAGGGCAGGATTTTCTATAGCTGTAATTGAGTAAAAGTGACACCCACAGCTTGAGGCAAGGGCTTCAGCCATGTGAGTCCTGGCCAAGATGCCTGTCAAAGAACAGGTTTACCATGCTGGTTTAAATTCCCTTGGTCATTTCACATTTATCTCCCAGATCGTTTCAAGAGATTCCTAAGAACTTGGTCTATATGCTTCCTTTCCCATTTCTGTTTCCAGCTACTTTGGACTAAGATTTTTGCTCTTCCCTAGCAAACTGCAAAACAGTAGAGCATCTATAGCTTCCCTGAATCCTGCAGGTACTCAAGAAGATGCGTACAATGCATCTTTAGGTTTCCTAATACTTTGGACTTCTAGTCACATAGAAACAGCATTCCTCCCTCTTTTACTTAGACCCTCAAGTGTCTCAAGGGAAATATAAAGTGGGCACTTTTCATTGGGCCTTTAAGTATAAAAATAAATGAAGAGTGTCTTACTTTTCCATAACATGCAGGTGTAGGAAACTGGGTTTAACTCCAGCAAAGGCAGAGAGAGGACCACATTTGTGGTAGGCAAGGGGAATGGCCCTGGGCACTCTTTCTCCTGCCCATCTTCCTCTTCTCCCTTCCACTCTTGCTGCTGAAGCCATGTTCCAGAGTGAATAGAGAATGGGTGTGCAGCAGGGAGAGTGGTTGTGGGTGAAGGGAAGTAGAGATCTTGAGCTATACTGAGTATATATTCCAGGGAGTAGAGATCTTGAGCTATACTGAGAAGTGCAGCATCTGGAAGTCAGTGAAAGCCTGGCATTGTATGTGCGTGTTCAGAATTCAGATTGTTCTTCATCAAAATATAAAAAGCCACATAAAGCTAGCCTTTAAAAAAAATATGGTAGGGCTTTCTAGGGAAGATGGTGGAAAAGTAGGGGACCCTCGTTTCATCTGGTCCCAGGAATTCAGCTGGGTATCTGTCAAATCATTCTGAACCCCTATGAATTCAACCTGATATCTAAGTAAAGAATTCCTGAAATTCTACAAATAGAAAAGCAACCACTTTTTGTAAGGTAGAAAGTGCAAAGATGTGAATCTGAGGGGATATATCAGAAGATAAACCACGGCGGGGAGTTATCCTCTGTAAGCCAGCTACTAGAAAGTGATATAGCTGCAGAGTTCAAAATCAGAACTTTTAGAAGTCTGCTCCAGTGCCTGAAAAGTGCTCAGGTGGTGAAGCAGGGCAGAATCTTAGGTGGGACAGTGTGGTCTCAGGATCCCCAGGGTCACAGAAAGAATGGGGGTGCCTGAGTGTGGCAGAGTTCCCCAAGCATTGGAGCCAGGAAGCTGGCTACAATCAGCCAACCTGGGAGTGGGATCTCAAGCTAGGCATTGCCATAAACCAGGAACCACAGCACAGTCCCATGACTGCTCTCTAAACAGGAGTCCAGTAAGTGACAGCCACTCCAACACTCTGCTCCGTCCCCTGGGAGGAGCGGCAGGGGTTCTTGCAGGATCAGGCAACTGCTCCCCAAGCGGGGGCCCAGCGAGCAGGGGGGCCATGATGAGACCACCCCCGCCCCAGGAGGATTTGTTTGGGTATGCACCACAGGAGTCTGCACAGTTTATTGCACACAAAAGGGATTGACTGCTTGTCCCTGAGGGTGCACTGAAAAGTGGGGGCCGTGATCATTCAGCAGATCAGCACACTGCCATTTTTACTTTTTTTCATCCTCTAAAGCAGTGCAAAAAGCCTTCAGGGAACAAAAGCCACATAGAGCAACCCGAAGCAGCTTACACTGAGCTGGCTGCCTGGCAAGGGGTGGTACAACTCCGCCCAGGCAAAGACACCTGAGAATCAGTGCAACAGGCCCTTACCCCAGAAGTCCAGCAGGAACGTCAGGCAAATGCCAAGTTTATGGATCACACAGAACTGAAAAACTCCTGTGATAGGGGAAAATAGTATATAGAATTTGAGGTTTTTTTCTCATGAGTCTTTTATATTTCATTGTAAATTTTTCTTTCTTTTTTTCCTTTTCAGCTAGTTTCTTATTTCATCAACTCTGTTTTTAAGGCTTTTTTTAATTTTAATTTTTACATTTATATTATTATAGTCTTCATTTTTGGCTTCATTTCACTGTATTCAGTTTTATTTGTGTGTGTGTGTGTTTGTGTGTGTGTGTGTGTGTGTGTGTGTGTGTGTATTTATATGTTTTTCTTTACAATTTTGGGATTTAGTGTCTTCTAACCAACAGACCAGAATACACCCAGGATCAAGTGGATTACCCTGTTTTGTCCACCTGTGAGATAATATTCTCTTTTTTTTCCCTTTTTTTTTCTTTTCTTCTTTGGTTTCTGACCTCTTCAGATTTATCTAGTGTGTATTTCACTGGGTCGTGGTTGATATTTTTTATTTTGTTCTCTTGTTCATCTGTTCTTCTCTGGACAAAATGACTCGAAGGAGAAGTTCACAACAAAAGGAAGAACCAGAGGTAATACTCTGCCATAAATCGAATCAATATGGATATAAGAAAATATCAGTCCCAGAATTTAGAATAATAATTATAAAGTTACTAGCTAGGCTTGAAAAAAGCATAAAAGACACTAGAGAATCTCTTAGTGCAGAAATAAAATCTAATCAGGTCAATATTAAAAATGCTTTAACTGAGATGCACTCTGAAATGGATGCTCTAACAGCTAGGGTAACTGAGGCAGCTGGGAGAGTCAGTGACAAAGAAAACAAAATGATGGAAAGGAAGGAAGCTGAGGAAAAGAGAGAAAAACAAGTAATGGACCATGAGGGGAGGCTTCGAGAAATTAGTGATGCCATAAAGTGAAACAGTATTAGAATTATTGGGGTCACAGAGGAAGAAGAAAGGGGGGGAACAGAAGGTATATTTGAGCAAATCATAGCTGAGAACTTCCCTAATCTTGGGAAGATTATTCAAGGTATTCAAGTCCAAGAGGCACAGAGAATCCCCCCTCAAAATCAATAAGTATAGGTCAACACCCCGACATATATAATAGTGAAGCTTGCAAATTTCAGAGATAAAGAGAAAATCCTGAAAACAGCTCAAGCCAAGAGGTCCTTAATGTACAAGGGTAGAACATTAGACTGGCAGCAGACCTATCCACAGAGACCAGGCAGGCCAGAAAGGACTGGCATGATATATTCAGGGTGCTAAATTTAAAAAAAACATGCAGGCAAGAATACTTTATCCAGCAAGGATGTCATTAAGAATGGAAGGAAAGATAAAGAGCTTCCAGGACAAACAAACTAAAAAAGGGCCTCTGGGTGGCTTAGTCAGTGAAGCATCTGCCTTTGGCTAAAGGTCATGATCCCAGGGTCCTGGGATCGAGCCCTGCATCAGGCTCCTTGCTCAGTGGGGAGTCTGCTTCTCCCTCCCGCTCTGCTTGCCAGTCCCCCTGCTTGTGCGTGCTCTCTCTCTGTCAAATAAATAAAATCTTAAAAAATACAAAAACCAGCAACTAAAAGAATTGTGAGCACTTAAACCAGCCCTGCAAGAAATATTAAAGGGGATCCTGCAAGCAAAGAGTGAGCCCAAAAGTAACAGACCAAAAGAACCAGAGAGTCTACAGAAACAGGGACTTTACAGGTAATAAAATGGCACTGAACCCATATCTTTCAGTAGTTACTCTGAATGTAAATGGGCTAAATGCACCAATGAAAACCTCTGAAAGGGTATCAGATTGGATAAAAAAGGGAAGACCCATCAATATGCTGTCTATAAGAGAC